AAAATCACAGACAATTCCTTTCTGTTAAACATGACCCTTACACAAGACCAAGGGGCTAAATCCCATGTACAATAGCACTGACAAGGTCAAGTTGTCTGAATCTCTGTCTATATAAGACCTGGCAAAAGGCCTATATTCTCTTTACTGATGGGAATAAGAGGTAGGGCGCCCTAAGCTGACAGGGACGTGCACTGGTATGCCAGCGCAGGATTCAAAGGCAGCCTAACGTCTCAGTTATGCTTCCTCGCAGAGGGTAAATGCAGTAAGGCTGGACTCGGCCCCCACCAGGCTTATATACAGCTTCCTGGGGATTCTCTGCAGCACTTGTGCACCTCCGAGGTTAAAACAGACAGAGTCAGCGGAGCATCCAACTCTGCATCCAACCTAAACCTGGAGTCAAGGAACAGAGCTGCAAAATGTTCGTTTTTATATTTCTGTTTGAAATATTGAAACAATATGGATTTTGAAAAAAATGATTTTGTCGTGTTCTCAGTCTAGATATATTGACAACTTTACCATTATGGCGACTAAGAGCAAAAAAAAAAAAAAAAAACCCACATTGAATTTCTGACTCATCTTTTTGTGAAAACAAATGCTAACAACAGAACTAATGAAAGATAATACAGGCATACCTTCCTTTATGTTCCAAGATGTCAAGATCTGAGTTCTGATGTGGCTCCATAGGACACCCATAAAGAGAAAATAAATCCCACACGTGATTTATATGGATAGGCCTTTATATACACATCACTGGTAGAGATCCTCAATGAAAAATCTGCAAATCCAGGAATTACTCATTGTGGTATTTTTGAATCATAGCTTAATATGGAAATTTCATACCTTTTTTTGCAGATAATGTGTACATGCAAAGTTTATGCTAGCTGAATATTTGCAGAGAACCTAACCTGTAGTATCTCAATGAGTCCTAAATATTTCCAAAGGGTAATAACAACAGCAATTTGTCTTTCTTTCTTCCCAGAAAGTAGAAGTCTTTTGAGTTTTTGAGCATTTGTTTGGGAGACCACTTTGTCTGCTTCAGGAGTGAGTTACATGGCCTAGGGCCAGGTCTGGAGATGAATTTGGTTGCAGCCTCTCCTTATGCTCCAGTGGAAGTGTACTATTCTCTGAGACCTGGATTATTGTAAAAGAGGCAGGAGCAGGGGTCACCACCCCAACAGACTAGCATGGCAGATCTCAAACTTGTTTTAATCTGCCTTTCCTCCCACATGCTTCTCCCTGGATACATTCCCTTCCTCCATCCCTTTTAGACAGCGGATGTCAAACTGGGAAATGCACTCCCTTAGGAAGAAGGTTCATGGGGGAGACAGGGAGCGAAACTTGGTGCAAAGGGGTTGGTTGGGCAGGGCAGGACTCAGCAGTGGGAGGAAGGAAGAAGGCCAGGCAGCACAGAGGACCAGAGCAAAGCCCTCCCTTCGCCTTTCAGGCTCTTACTGGATCTCCAGGGCAGGAGACAGGTGCAGAGGAGAGCTCCTGAAAGGCAGCAGGCAGCCGGGAGTCATGAACTTGTTGATGTCTTTGCTGACAAAGCAAAGAGGCTACTGCATTTTGCAACAGATAGGGCCATTTCTGGACCTGTGATTTAATTCCTAGGAATAAGAGACCATATTGAGCAGGCAGTTATTAAAAGGTATTTTAGAGTTGCCTGAGCTCACTGGAGGATCAGAGACAGCTGGTCACTTGCTTATAGAAATAAATGTTATTTTAGCTATGTTTTTGCTACCATTTGACCATCCGGTAGCACTGAGGAAAACAGAAGAAACATCATGGCAGATCAGCTTCTCTAATGCTAAACAGAAAATAATATTTGTTGAGGCATTTTTCTCCCAGCTCTGTATGTCAGTAGACCCTTTTGTTGCTGTTGTGTCTGAAGTGATGACATGGGGGTCTGTCAAACATTCTCCTGTGGGATGTCTAGCTTCTCCAGTGCTCAGGATCCAAAGCCTTCACTGACTTCCAGTGCTTCAGGAAGTGTAGGCTGAAGTCAGATACAATGTACATCCTAATATCATCCTTCCCGCTAAAGCTATTTACTCTCTCATCCCCAAAAAGCTAGCTAGCTGCTCCATAGTAAGCTGAGGATGGACTGAGGGGTTGTTCCTCGGAGGCAGAGCAGGTTGCTTTTAAAACCCTGAGAGATGAGATAGTAAAAATAGCATTAAGTAAACCTTAGCCCTCACTACATGAGGAATGAGACCCGAAGGATTCAAGTACTGTCAGAAAGAGTCTCAGGTTAATTTCAGAGCTGAAAGCTACCACTCCTACTACATATTGCTCCATCTAAGCTCCCATTCCTATAGATCATCATCCCCTTTCTACCACACTGCAATTGGCAGTGGAGATGTGGGACTTCATCCTCATAATTTGACCCAAAAAAGTGATGTATTAAATGTAGGCCTCTAATCCAAATTAGCTGTAACTAATCCTTTTTATGGTCAAGTTAAACTCTTATATTGTTGGTGTGAAATGAGTCATTGCTGTAAAATTTCTTAGGTGGCTGCTGTTCAGACAGGATGCATTGTAGGCGTTAGAAAGAGGACAGGAAAAGCTGTTCTCTGTACATGCGATCTGAGGGTCACCAAAGGTTACATTTTTAGTAAAGGACAAGAATGAACGGCCAGATTCTGAATACTGCCTTGCCCCATCGGTAGTAATGCTAATTCCATGCATCTGTCCCTCCGTGCCCAAGTGGCTGAGCAAAATTTACTATGTTGAATTTGAAAAGTTGGTTTTAACGATGTAGATGCCAGATGTTTTTCTGCCTAGTTCTTATGCTAACGGAGCCAGGAATGATAGTTCATGTTATGCATATGCTAGATAGCATAAGTTTTGAAGAAAGCATATCTGCTCAGGTAAATCTCTCATTTACTCAAGCAAACTAAGGCAAAAATTGAGAAAAGGCCTTGAGTTATCTGATGGTGACTGAGTTGGCAGTGGTTGGAGGTTGTTGCATTCTTAGAAAACAAGATTTCATTCTATTATGTTTCCTTTTCAGGGGTGGAATGGTTCAGACCAGCGAACAGTATGAATTTGTGCACCATGCACTAAGTCTGTATGAAAGCAGACTTTCTGCAGAAGCTGTCCAGTGAAGTCTAGGAGGGTAAAACAGAATGTCAGTCTCTTTAGGTAATTTGTTTCATTACCTACCAGCAGCTTCTTCAAGGAGTTTACTGCAGTGGGAAGAGAGGCTTTGAAGCCAGCTTCTGAAAGGATTGTGGACAGTTTGGCAAAATAGTATAAAGATTGCTGGACCCTTACTGTAAATGAATGTATTGTGAGCTTCCCAAAATGATTTATAAAGAAGGTACTGTACTGAAACTACACATGGATTTCACATATATCTCTAAAAGTGGGTTTAATTCTGTAACACTGATATCCGCCATATGGAATGTATGTATGTGCTACTGCTGCGGTCAGATGGACATTGGAACTTCTAAAGAAGAAATGTTTATCAAGTGTATAAATGCTTTAACGTTTGCAAACTCTGTCTTGTGAATGGACTGTCAACTGTACTGTAAAGTGCTATTACAGATTATGTGGTAGGCTTGTTTCTTGGCCACATAATATTCTTGCTGCTAAAATTGCAAGTGTTCAATTATGAATTAAAAAAGATAAAGAAGATGAGAAAAAAAAGTAAAAGTCTTGTTTTTGAAAATATTCAAAAGCAGTTAATATTTTATATGGAAATATATGTTCTTCATACTATTAACTATTAAATGTATATTTACTGTAGGTCTTACAGAGCAGTTACAGAGCACAATGTCTGTTTTTCAGTGTATATGTATTTACCCTATACTGTTGATTATCTTAGAAGATGCTTCTGCTACAGACCCTAATCCAGTGTATTTGTAAATTGTGTAAGTCATTTTACTTTTAAAAGAAACTTTGTAGCATATATTAAATGGTAAGGATTTTAAATATTTGTCTGTCTTTTATTAATAGGGGATTTTTTGCTTATATTGTTTAACTGCTCTGCCTCTTTGGACGGAGATGGATATCTCTAGTGATATGAACTGTTCCATGATAGGTTAAACAAAAAGGAAAATGCTGCTATGAGTGTCCCTTTACCATTCAGTAAGAATTTGTTCCTTAAGAGAAATATGAAGTTGGCATTATGACTAACAGCAAGCACTGGGAGGTCTGTTCACAGGGTATAATGAGTTTTTAATGCAGTGATGTTGACTTTGCTTCATACTGCTAATAAATTACACTTGATATAAAATATTTATTGAAGTCGGTATTTTTTTCCTAGGGTAGTTAATGCACCACACACTCTTGTACCCCCGTAAGCAGGCATAGCCCAGTACAATTTGGGAAGCTCCATCATGGCTTCACACCATTGGAGAGCCACTGCAGAGGACATCAACAAACTCCCACTGACACTGAGCAGAGCGGATCACCTGATGGGAAGGCAAAGTCAACATGACTTGATCCCTCAGGGGGAGTTTATCTAAGACCTGGTACAGTCTCAGAGCTTTGCCTCCTCCTCTTCCCCTTCTTCTCCCCCTCTCTACTTGGTTTTTAGAACTTGTGGAGTTAGAAGATCAATATTGAGATTTTGCTTGATTACATGTAATTACAGAAATGTGTGTGTGTATTCCCTGGATAACACAGTATGTACTTACTCAGCACGACCCAGATCACCTGCAGACTCGCCGTACTTCACAGACAAGCAATTACACAGAATTACAATCCCTTTTCTTTAGACTTTTAGTCCAGTAAATTATACAAATGTTGAATCATTGTTTTTTAGTGAGCTGGGTGTTTGAAAACCTCTCTCTCTTTTGCTTGTATTTTTCCAAAATAAAGGAACTAGTAAATTCTGAAGAATCATATGAAAGGACAAAGTGGTGTAAAACTCCCCAAAACAATTGAATAGAAGGAAGTGCTCGTCACTGACTTTTTCCCCCTGTGAAGGCACATTTCCTTCCTAGCCTTCGCTTCACTTATCTGAGGTGTTTTTTTTTAAGAGAAGCATGGGGAGTTGCTAGATGGAAAATGGATTCCTTATTTCACGTCCTGGTTTTTACCTGTCTTGCTTTGGCAATCTCAGGTAAGTGCTTCTCCCCACTTCTCCGCTGTTGTATTATACTCTCTGCCACCGAGCTGAGCCCTCCAGGGGGGCGGGTGGCTTACAAAAACTGAGTCTCTTCTTTGATTGAGTTTATACAAGAGGAACGGGGGGCAGGGCCGACATAGCCAGTTCTGTTTAGATTTCTTTCCACAGGAAAATAAACTGTCTCCTTATATGCTAGATATACCTCTTTTTTTTCTTAAGATGATCTCCTGCTAGACAATCCAGGAGCTAAGGTTTGGGACAAGCTCTTCGAAGGGGAGATTCCTATTTTTTGTTCCTATTCTGTGAAATTTCCAGAGTCAGGAGCTTTCTGTAGCACCTAGTATGAAAGAGCCCAGTTCTGTAAAAGCTGGGGGGGGGAGGAATTAAACCAAGGAAAGTACATAAGTTTTTTTTTAAGCACTTTGTAGCTAATGAGGCTGGAAATGATAGAGTAAGTGAATTATAAAACAAGAAAAGCTTAAAAAAAGGGGGCTGTGAGGCTGCATGTGAAATATGTGATTCTGTGTTCTTTAACAAGTACGTGTTTTACACTGGTAACGTTGGCTTTTTTTGGTGAATGAGCTCTCGTTATGTTCATGTTAGTGTTTCATGTAAATGTTTAAGTGTGGTGGCACAAAGAATTAGTCTGGTATGAATTAGGATGGTCCCAAAACTAACAGCTAGGGACATTGGAGTAAATCCAGTAAGATAGGTGTACTTCCTATCAGTAAAGAGCCTCCAGTCTTGTAAAAGCACAGACACTGAAAGGCACCCAAATTTAGGAATGTCCTCTTATGTGTTTTCTTCACAAATACTATGAGTTTTAATAAAACAATTTCCAGGCAGTGAATTATATTGTAAAAGGACTGTGTCATAAAACTAAAAAAAGACAGAGCTCTTGTCGATCTCTGTATGCTTTCAAGCAGGGGAAATGGGTTTTTCAGAAATGGACTTAAAGTCAATAGTTCTTAGCTTTCTTTTATATTCAGTTCTTTTGTTTTTTCCTTTTTATATATAGTGAAGGTCAAGGTGACCTTTACCAATCATAGTTTGCTTTTTGCATTCTCACTTTTTACATTACCATGAACTAGCACTTGCTTCATTTGGGTTGTAGGGGTTTTTTAATAGGATCAACACATGGAAAGTTCATGAAAAGTTCACCACTTAGAAAATGGAAGAGAGATTTATTTGCTGTTGTATTTTAAATCATAAAGAATTTGCTACTTTGTTAAACAAGCACGTGTAATCTATTTCAATTTTTTTGGAATTTTCCTCTTCCAGAAGGGTTTCTGATTATCCATGTCCAGAAACAGCAGTGTCTTTCAGAAAAGAAAGGAGTCATTATGGAAAAGTGCAATATGACCCATCTCAACCAGCAGTGGAGGTGGACAGCAGATGACAGGCTCCTCCATGTTAGATCTGGCCAGTGCCTGAGCATCTCTACACGCTCTGCCCTGTCATCTCGCAGCATCATCGTTGATTGTCCCCAGGCAGTCAGGTGGACTTGCCATGAGGAGGACGGGCTCCTGAAGGTGGCCAACAGCTCTCTCTTTCTCACGAAGCAAGGTCAGAAGGTAATGGCCAAGCAGAGTAAGAAATACCTTCATTCATGGATGCAGCTAGGAGCCAGCGAGACGGGAAAACTTGTCTATGTAAATCTGTGCTCAAAGCAAGGTGAGCTACTCCTTTAAAGAAGTATCCTGGAAGTTTTGGTAACAACCTTATCTCTTTTACCCTCAGTCAAGTGATGATATTTATTGATGGTGATATTTATTTCATTCATATAGAAAGACATTTTTCATAGTTGAAAACAGTTAAAGAACCATAAACAGAACAGCTTACGTGAGAGCTGACTTTATGACAGTTGGTGGGTTTTTTAGGCCAATTTATATTTTCAGGATGTTCCCTCTCTTCTCCAGTCCCAGTCTGTGGATCAAAGTGCTTATGTATAAGCTCATCTCACTATTTTTGCATTGTTTCCTTTTCTTCCTTTTAAACAGAATTGTGGGTACTAATTCCCAGTAGTTTTTACAAATATAGACAGATACAAGTTCTTCTCCTCCCCATTCACTTTATCATGCAAATTCACATTCCATCTGCCAAGAGCAAAAAGGCATCTGAAAATCAAATATAAGCACAATCATTTCTCTGGTTAATCCAAATGCATGACTGAAACAGCCATATGGCTTATACGGTTGAGTGTTTACACAGCGTCCTTACATTCTGCCCTTGGGTGGAATATACATGAGAACGTTCGAAATTCTCAGAATAATGAACTGAAACAAAAATCTCAGAAATGCTTGCAATAACACTTTAAGATGTATGGGTCCGTGCATACACTTCCAGATGCCTTAATACACCTGTGTAGTGATATGTTTACATGCATCCATAGAAAAAAGGGAAGGTAGAATGGTTTGAATACTGCTTAATAACTCTTTGCCTGTTGTCCTTTTGTTAATCCTTCATGACAATCTCGTGGGTATTCTACCCACACACTTTTAAATGGTTCTTCAAGGTAAATAACTGTGCTCAACTGCACAGTTAAGCTTTTTTGCAGGGAACACGCAATTTATTCTTGTCTTTACAAGATTTTAAAAAAAGGCTTTATGATCCTATCCTTTCACATATGGCCAAATTTTCAGGAAGTTTAAAACAACTTCCTTGTTCCTCTTCTAACCTAAGAGTCTTTTAGACAAAATTGACAGCTGATCCTCCCATTCCTTGTAAGGTTGGTTATCAGTTTGGTGAACAAATCTGCACTTGCAGGAATCTATTCACAGCAGCAGGCAGGGTTACTCACCTGTCGGGAGGTCTGAAAAGGCAGCTTGCAGAACCAGGGAATGGAAAATTGGCCAAGATGCCCTCCCATATATTTTAGGGATTAAGAAAACGATAATCATTTGAAGTCCTGCATGTAGGGGCAGGTATGGCTTGTTTATTCAAAGACACCATGGCAAGTTTAGGTGAAGTACCCAGGCAGTGTTATTTTCTTTAGCTAGCTGGCCTAATGGAGTCAAATTAAGGTTACATCCTTTTCTTAATCATCCTCAGAAGAGGAACCATTTAGACCAATGAATACTGAGTAAGACAATTGCCATGGGGTTTTAAAGCACCTTCTCATCTATTTACTGTGTGTGCTCTTTTAATCAATTTACCTTAATTTTCCTGAAATTCTGTCTGTAGACAGGCCTGTAGATCCCCTTTTAAGCATTTGACTGTTTCAATCATCTCTTTTCTGACATCTCTGGGAAGCTCTCCTGAGAAATCAGCAGTACATTATGATGTATTTAAATGCCTAAGACTTCCAGGTAGAAGCTTATGAAGACGCTTATGAAGACTAGAAGTAGCACAGAGATATGCATTTTTTTTAAATACATATAATAGTAAGTGCTACAGAAGAAAATAATGCCGACAGTCCTAGTCTTGAGGTCCACATACATGCCAATATTTTCAGTGTTGAATGCATACAATTAGTTTTCCAAGCACATTTGTCTGATTTCAATGAAAGCTGAAGTGGATCAGCCTAAAATAACATATTCGGTCTATATTTATATAAGATAGTAAAAACTGAACAAAGTCTTTAGAGCCGAAATAGCTGCAAGTTTTTCTACTCCTGAATAACAGCCTGTTTTAATGTAATTTACCCTTTGTTTGCACAGTACTCTCAAAAAATAATGACATTTTGGCAAAGAAGTAACTCACTGAATTGCATCCCAAACATCTTATCAGCTCAGATACAGTACAAGCTCCAAATGCAACAACTGCAACTATGTTTTATAGTGAGCCTAATTCAAATGCCAGATGTGATTGTTCTGAACTTGCAGAAGGTTTGAGCTTGGATTTGGGTTTCAAATTGGCCTTCTGAGACATGTTTTGATACAAAATTTTTTGCTGCAATCCTCACCTAACTGACTGTTTGTGAAAGTCAGGATTAGTTTAAATACATATCCCATCTCTGTTCAATTGCAGATCACTTTGAATCTAATAACTGGCAGTCCTTCTTACACAAAAGCCAGGCTTGATTCTGACAGCTACAAAATTGACATGAAGAAGGGCCAAGTTTGGCAAGGTATTGAGCTCCTTTGAGGTGCAGAGACTTCAGTTTTCATCAAATTCAGTAGGAGATTCTGGACAGAGAGAGGAATAAGGCTCTCTTTCAAGGCAGCAAATTCTGAACCACTGAACCAAGAAAGCCATCTATAAGAGCAGTGTTTCAAGACACCATCTGACAATGTTAACGCCACTGAGCAACACTGATTGCTGTTCTAGAGTCAAACCAGCAAAGTGGCCTGGCCGGCTGCTACGGTGGACTATCCGACTGTTGGGGTCAGGGCATCTGTAAGTCTAGGAAGCAGGGAAAGCTAGAAGAATGGAAACAGGGAAGAGGAAAACATGAGGGAGTTGAAAGCATAGAAGGCGGGATGAGGGAGTGGATGGCACTTGAAGGAATGCAGGAAAGGAAACAGGACTAGGGAGAAAATGGGGAATTCACAAGAAAAGAAAACTTCCACTCATTGGAAGACTGATATGTCTGGGCCAGAGGTGAAGTAAATATTGCATGTACACAGGTGGGGAATAGCAGGGGAGCCTTTAAGAAGTTTAACTTAAGCTTACATTATTTGAGGCAGTCTTAGATTAGATAGCCAGCAAGCTGTTTAAGAGTTCTCATAGAACTAGTAGAAGACCTAGATAAAATACGGTTTTGCATGTGGAGAATCAGCAGATTTAAGGGATTCTCAGGCTCCTATTTTATATTTAGAGGCATTGTATATTTCTGTAGGAACATTTGGCACAGTAGCTTATATGACTATTATAAAGCACGGGCAGTGTTCGTTTGAAAGGGGCAAACATCATTACTATGACTGAAAACATGGCAAAAATTGTTGCCTACAAATAATAATTGCAGGACAAGCCCCATCTCCTCTTATATGTCTGGCAATCACCCAGCGCACTGCTAGCACTAATGCTAACATCACTTCTGACTTGTATAAGCTGTTCTTAGAAGCCTCCTTTGTTTTGGGTGCCTTAGTTTCAGTAAAACATCCAGTTGGAGAAGAGAGGTAATGCCATGTGGTACCCTGAATATTCCCAACAAACCTCAGAAACACTGCAAACCAACAATTATTCACCAAGATAACCAGAGAATGATTTTAAATAGACAGGCACAAGCGCAAGCCATATGCTGTGGTTATTCACTCAGATCCGAAGATTACCATGCAGCCTGTAGAGCAGTCAGTCTGGACACAAAAAAGAGCCATGAACGGTTTTGTAATTTGATGCTCTGCATTGCATTTCCCTTCTTCCCTACGATAAGTAATAGGGATAGCTCCTGAAGTACTTGTAGCTGCAAAACTCTCAGAACAGAGGGTTTCATGACTAAACCCCATTCAGAAGAGTCTCCTGACTTCATAAAAGAGAATGGCTTTATTGGTTACTCTTATGTGCCAGGTACTTAAGAAGCATAGTGGGATCAACAACAAATAGAGCATCTTTTTATCTTTTGTTTTGTCTACAGTCTAAATTAGACAAAACACTAGATACTACATATAAGCAAAAGACCCATGTGCTATCTGACATTCAGACTGTTATCTCTACAGTGTTTCCTCTTCTACCGCAGTCTGTGGCCCTCTATCTGCTCTTTCTCATCACCTACCTTTCACATGGGCTACTCCTTCCCCTTATCCCATTTTTAGTCTGCCTACTTTATATTTGAGCCTGAGCTTACTGGGGTCATGTCCCATTGCTGAACACTTCTGTCAACTTCAGTGGGTGAGACAATGGGTAGAAGAGACCAGAGCAGCGCAGACACGGAGGGCTGAGGCCTGCTCTGGTCCACCAGAGCAGCAGTAGTAACTCTGCACCATGCCTACACAGGGCCATGGCAGGGGAAGAGGAGTGCATCTTCCCAGCACTCTTCCTGGGACAGAGGAAGAGCACGAAAGAAAGATGGCAAGAGCACAGGAATAGCAGCAACTTGCCTACAACAAAACTATCAGTCTTGCCTAGCCAGCTTTGTATCTCACCCAGCTCAGGGTAGGAAGGGAAAGTGTCCTCTCCAAGAGGAAGAACTTCTATCTTTTGTGCAGGAGAAGCCTAAGAAATAGGGTGGAGGGGGAGTGAGAGAGAGGAACCAACAGACACCTTGTCCCAGAGGTCAAAATGTCTTGGTGGCTCCCTGTTTCTTTTCCCCTTCCCTCCTTCCTCTTCACTTAAAGTAAAAGCAGCAGCTCCAAGCTTTGTCAGGCAGCCTGCATCTTTCCCCATCGCCTTTTACAGAGCTTTTCCTCATCTTCCTGGGGGCAGGGAGCAGTTGGGATAGAAGGTGCTCCAGGTTGTGAGGGGCATAAGCTGGACGACGTTGCAGTAGTTACTTAACCACAAGAGGCACTCAGTAGTCCAAAGGAACTGATGTCTTGTGTTCATCAAGTGCAGGTCCCCTTGCCTCCTTCTCTGAGTCCCTTTAATTCCAGAGATTTTATTTGTAATGAATATAAACATAGAGTCTTAACTCCTACTTTTACACTTATGTTTAAGTAGAAATAGATGCAACTTTGCCATCTGCCATGCACCCTTTTGTTTTTCCTTCTTACCAGAAGTCCTGTAGCTAAGTTGTTCATTGCTGTCTACAGGGTACTTAGGGACATGCTTGGGGCACTCACCAGGAACCAGTATAG